CGGTGCGCTCTGGTCGCCGCGGCTCACGTGCTGTGCTTCTCTCCGCAGACCTCCCTGCGGCTTTTCCGTCTGAGCTGAAGGCCCCTCCATGGCCCGCGGAGCCCCCGGGTGCGTCTCCAGAGCACATTGCAGCTCCTCCGCCTCTCGTCCACGCTGGAGCGGCCGGACCCCGGAGGCGCGGGTCCCGGGTGGAGAGGTTAGCTCTGGAGTCCGCTGTTGCGTGTCTGCTCGTAACTTGTCCTTATTTAGGTTTCTCTGTTATGTCTACTGGTTTCCCGGTGCCTCATAATGCCCCTGTTTGCCTTCAAGAATCTGCTTTCTGACAGTTCTGTGATCAGAGGAAACGCGTCCTAATTCTCCGAGGGCCCGCGTTACTCCCACACACCAAACCTCCCTTGTCAGACTGCCCTGCGGACGGGCGTTCTCGGCCGGTCAGCCTGTCAGGACCAGGATGATTTGTATGAAAGCAAGCGCCTCGGTTGACCTGCGGTCACTGTATGTTAGAGGCCCACCTCACCCCGCATTACGTTACTGTGTTCATCTGCTGCTGAGTATTCTAGTCTATGCTTAGACACCCTCTAAAAAAGTGGTCAATGAGATAGATGCTCCTGGCCCCTGACCACGTGTTCTCAGAACTCTCCTGGAGCTTAGACTACAGGTGGGCTTGGAGGAAAGCTGGGGAAGAGTTTCTCCTGGTCTCACGTTACCTCGGTGCCAGGGTGTGGTGTCCCCTGATTGGCATCAGGACGCCGCTGTATTGTTACCTGCTGGCTCAGAGGTCGTGTGTGTGTGTGTGTGTGTGTGTGTGTTGATCAGAACTTCCCATTTGTAAAATGAGACTGAAGGAGAAAGATCAGAGGACAACATACAAATAAATGCTTTCCCCGGCACCAAAGGCAGATCGCAATAGTCACAGTCGCCTGCTCAGGTAAAGAGGTCGCCGTGTCCCGTAGGACAGCAGAGCTCACTCACCAGCGTGCCCAGCCTCCGCGTGGTGTGGAAGAACCTTATTTTTGAGCCTGGAATGGCTAGTTTGGGAGAATATTGACATAAAAACAATTGAGGTGTGTGCTAGTCAGTTTCTGTGTAGACATGTACCTACACGCAATGGAGGACCCGGTTTAATTTTATTCAGAGTGATCGCAGGGAGGGCTCAGAAGTGTTACAGTAAAGAATGTGATCATGGCCCTAACCGGTTTGGCTCAGTGGATAGAGCGTCGGCCTGCGGACTGAAGGGTCCCAGGTTCGATTCCAGTCAAGGGCATGTACCTTGGTTGCAGGCACATCCCCAGTGGGGGGTATGCAGGAGGCAGCTGATCGATGTCTCTCTCTCATCGATGTTTCTAACTCTCTATCCCTCTCCCTTCCTCTCTGTATCAATAAAATATATTTAAAAAAAAAAGAATGTGATCATGGAGTATGGGAAAAATTCTCTCTGGTTGATATAGCTAGATATTAGAAAGAGTAGATCGGGCTCGGAATATACCACCCAAATCTATGGTTAACGTGGACAACTCTTAAATATGTTTCTTTTTCTGATGACATCATTTTACACATTGACATTTTGTGTAAGTTTTTTTGGCTAACAAGCTCCAAGGTGTTGAATTCATGGCCAGTAGAAAAGAAACTTTCAATAAAGACATTATAGTTTGCTGATTTCCCAAGTAGATTTTTATGTTATTTTTGCAAAGGTTTTAAAATTTATCAGTGTTTTAGAGGCATTTCCAGATATCAGTTCATTTGTGGAGTTCTTAGATTAAACTTTTAGTCCTGAGCCTATTGATTACTTTATTAAAGACAGAAAGATGGTTTGGTATAAAAATCTGTATTTCCTTTCAGCATCAGGAAGCTTTCTGTTTCAGAATTAGTGTTCATTTTCTGTTTTTTGTGCTTAGATAGACTGACGCGAGCTAGAGAAACCTGGGTCTTGAACCAAAGACTCCATTCAGATTTAGGCATCTTTCATCCCAGGGATTAACGCTGTGCAAGGACCTGTCGTGTTGTGCACGCGCCAGGGTATGTGCGTGTGTGTGTATGTATGTTGGGGGGGGGGTGATGTAGGTCGAAGGTTATAAGCCATAGCAATATGTTAAAAACTAAAAGTTGTTTTCTCTCATGTTTACAATGTTATTTTCCTTTGTTCCATTGGCATCCCTAGTCTTTGGATTTGTTTCAAGCCCATCATGCATTATGATTGAAAGTCAGCACAGTGTATGGCAGGGAAAAGAGTGAACTTTATAACATGACAGTGCCTGTCGGAATGTGCCAGCACCTCTGTAATCGGGCTCATTGGTGCTCTTAAATCTGGAGACGCCTGTATGAAAGTGGCATTGCTTCTGCTGGCACGCTGGCAGCCTCCTGCATTTTTCTGCTTTGTCACATGTGCCCTAGCAGTGTTGTGCTTTCTAATTGGATTGGATAAGATTCATCTTGCTTATTGAAGCCCGTCAAAGCACATTCAGATATTTTCCAGTGGAAACAGCAGTTTTCATATGAATTGATTGGCTAGAGGTGATGCTAAGTTGCAAGGTAAATACCAGGATTTCTTTCTTAATTATAACTTTTACAATTAGAACACAGACAAGCTTTAGGGCCTTACCACTTTTACAATTTATAAAATAATTTCCCCAATCCTCCTCCTCCTCCTCACCTTCATTATCATCATCTTTTATTTCCCAATCCTCATACCTTTTTTTTCTTTTTTTATTGTGGGGGTCTCTATTCCAGAACTATGTTGAATAGCAGTAGCACAATACAATATACAGATGATGTACTAAAGAATTGTACCCCTAAAACTTGTATAATTTTAATAACCAGTGTCACCCCAAAAAATTCAATTTTAAAGCATAGCAGTAGCAATAGCAAGTATTCTTGTCTTCTTGATTCTAGAGCAGGGGTGGGGAACACCGGCCCGTGGGCCTCATAGGCCAGAGAAATCTTTCGGTCTGGCCCTGCCAAGGCATTATCGGGGAGTTAATTAGGTGTTTGACCAAATAGAGCGGCTAATTTTTAAGTTAATAATTTTGTATGGCCCTCGAATGATGTAAAGATCCAATGGCTCTGGGCAAAAGAAAGGTTCCCCACCCTGCCCTATAGCAATGCCTCTGAATGCTCTCCCTTGATTGGATGTGGATTTGGAAGATCCCCGATCAGCTTGAAGTTTAGACTTTCTGGAATGGGTTCTGCAGGTTCTGCTGCTGTTCTCTGCACCAGGTCGCATTGACACCCTAGCATTTTGATTGCTTTCCTGTGTGGGTGCACTGCCTTTTCTCTCTAGACAGTGTTGTATAATTTTCTTTGTCTTTGAGATTTTTAAATTTCACAATAATGTGTCTAAGTGTTATCGTCTATCCTATTTTACACTCTGACGCCATTCAATAGGAAAGAGATCTCTGATTCTGGACATTTCTTGATCATTGTTTTTAAAAAACCATTTCTTGTTTATTTTTCTGTTTCTGGAACTCATTCTACACCTCTGTCTGCTATATTTCTTACATTTTCGTGTATATTTTTACAGTTCTCCCCACCCCTCTGTGCTTTGGTTTTATTGAGATAGAACATTATTATATACTAGAGACCAGATACATGAAATTTGTGTAAGAGTAGGCCTCCCTTCCCCCAGCTGTCAGCACCGGCTTCACTCTGGCACCCGGGACCCGGGCTTCCCTCGCAGCCCTGGCTTCATCTGGAAGGTCCCATCTAAACAGCATATTACGCTTTTATTATTATAGACTAGAGGCCCAGTGCACGAAATTTGTGCATGGGTACTGTTCCTAGGCCTGACCAGTGATCAAAGCGCAAATGTCTGGTGTGGAAGGGCAGGTCCTAGCTGACCTCTGGGCCCTGGGCAGCACCTGGGCCCACAGGCCCCCATGCGCTCCCCTCACCTGAGTCACCTCGCCTGAGTCCCCATGCAGAGATGGGGTGAGCGCTGCTGGGCGCTGCATGCCGGGGCACAGCGCGGGCCTCTGGCCACCCAGCGGTGCCACATGGAAGCCAGGTGGGCAGCGCGCGCTCTCCCAGCTAGCCTCACAGACCAGTTCCTGTGCGAACCCAGGGAGCCTGACCAGCCCCTGCGGTCCCAGTGGCTGCGGCCGGCTCACCTGGAAGAGGCTGTGAGGGTGCGGGGCGGGCTCCTTGTGGGCGCCTGGCACCTGAGTGTGGAGACTTTCCCGGCATCCCAGGGGAGGGTAGCAGGGGGAGTGAGAGCAAGCTCGGTGGACACCCCACATCTCGCCATCTGCGGGGCCATCAATCTGGGCTGGGCCCCCCACCCAGCTCCCTCAGCTCCTGGGAGCTGTGTGGCGGCCCCGCCCCCTGCTGCTGCCACTGGTCGCCATCTGCGGGGCGATTGTTCTCGGCTCACACCTGCCTTGGCCTGGCGCCGCTCGCTCACCTGCTTCACCATCCCACTGCGGTCCTGCTCTCGTTGGGGCCCATTAGGGCCGACAGCACCTCCTCTGCCGCCCGCCATGTTCCGTGCCTCCCCTGGTGGTCAGCACATGTCATAATTAGCAGTCGAACTCCCAGTCAAGGGGACAATTTGCATATTAGGCTTTTATTATATAGGATTGTTCTTGATCTTATTCTTAATCTTTTTCATTGAGGCTGACTGACTCATCTTGTTTTTCTAACCAAAGGGCAAATTTTAAAGGACAGATAATCGGTAGATTCAACTGCAGTCACAAAACAAATAGAAATACAACACGCCCCTCCGACTACGGAACCCCGAGAGGGACAATTCTCCTTTCCGCCTCGGCGCTACTCCCTGCTCGCGCGAGATTTGACGACAGCAGTGGGGCGGGAAGGAAGCGGAGACGCACCAAACATGGCGGCGGCCGCAGCAGCAGCGGCGGTGACGGGATCTTATTCTTAATCTTTTTCATTGAGGCTGACTGACTCATCTTGTTTTTCTAACCAAAGGGCAAATTTTAAAGGACAGATAATCGGTAGATTCAACTGCAGTCACAAAACAAATAGAAATACAACGATACAGTGACTAGGAAACAGAGAACCAGTCCAAGGAAACATGGGAAGATGGGAAACAGCAGCGGAAACAGTCCTGGCCATTAGTTAGTTCCTGCGGCCATGGCCGCACGCTGTGTGGTCAGATCGTCTATAGTCGTAAGTAGTCAAGGGTTAGTGTTTCCAGTCGATTCCTAGTTAATCAATTAAAATAGGAGTTTTAGTTCTTAAAATGTTGGTCAAGCTTTTGTTAATTGGAAAATACTTTTATAGAACCCTCCCACTTCACAACCTTTTGCCTTTGCATAAAAGTATTTTTACTGGAAGAAAAGACTTTTTGCCTTTTAGGTGCTAGACTTCCTCATTTTGTTCTTACTAGAAAACATTTTGGTGATTTGATTTGTGAATTTGGGCCATAAACCTATGGGAGGACCAGTTTAGTTTGTGATTACAAAATCTCACATTCTTACTCCCCCCCATTCTCAGAGTGAGTGGCTGATGGGTGGTGGTAGAGGTGGGTTTGGATTTCAATGGCAGGGGTCGGGGGAAGCAGCCCATAGGCCAAGCCTGGCTCAGAGCCTGTTTTTGTGGTTTTATTGAAACACAGGCCTACTCGTTCATTTACGTATTGTGTGTGGCTGCCATTCGCTACAATGACAGAGGTCAATAGTTTTGACAGAGATTGTGTGATCTGCAAAGCCTAAATATTTACTGTTTGGACTTGGACAGAAAGGTTGCACCCCTGTTCTAGACCACCTATTCCTAGAGGACTCGTTCGCGTGACCCCTATCACTCAGAGCCTTTGCTGTGTCCCTCACTGTTTCAGTGTAAATTAAATAAAATTTAAAACTCGTCATTTGTAGTAGCCATATTCCAAGTGCTCAGTGGCTGCATGCGGCTGCATTGGGTAAGGCAGGTCTGTAGCATGTCCATCATCCAGAAAGCTCTGGCAGCCCTATTGAGCCCCTTGGTGTCTGTACTGTCTCCATGGACAATCCCTGATGCTGTGCTTATTTCTTTCATCTGGACTTTTTTTCCTCTTTTTTTTTCTTTTTTTCTGTCTTTGTAATTTCCTTCCATCCTCTAAGACTTAAGTTGGAATCCCAGTGATTTAAGTATTAACTCTATTACTTTCCCACCGTTCCGTGTGTGCCTCGTCCAGTTCCCCAGGAGGGTGACACGTCTGTAACGGCAGGGACTGTGTCCTCTGTGGCCCTGCTTAGTGCCTTGCAGTCATGCTGTGTCACTGTGTGGTTTTGCTCTGTGCTGGCTCTCCCTAATAGTGTGCAATTATTTCAGTGTCCCCCCAGGTGTAACGACCTGTAAACTTTAAAAACAAGCCACACAAAACAAACAAGATGGGCGAGAAGAAGCCAGAGCCTCTGGACTTCGTGAAGGATTTCCAGGAGTACCTGACCCAGCAGACCCACCACGTGAACATGATCTCGGGGTCAGTGAGCGGGGACAAGGAGGCAGAGGCTCTTCAGGGAGGTAGACTCACCTAATACTCTCACTAACTCCCTTTTTATAAATACAGTCATGCTTGTCATTGCTGTCCACACCATTATTCCCTTATGTGAGTCATTCCGTCTTTTCCTGCAAAGATACAGGGCAGCTTTCTTTCTTTCTTTCTTTCTTTGCACATGTCAGCTGTTTGTGAGTGAGCCCCCAGGCTTCACATGGCCGAGCGCTGCTTTGCAGTCTCGGACGATGAGGGCGCTCGTGTCATCCCTGTCCTCCAGCTTCTCTAACTGATAAGAGACACAGGCACCCACTCAGTGCACAAAGGACCAGCCATTAGGGATTCTGGGTTAGGCCTGAAACACGGGGGGGATTTTGGTTTCTTCTCTCAAAACGAAGAAAGGGCGATGTTTAGCTACCCGGGAGGAGAAACTAGGACAGAAAGCAGCGGCCCACTGCAGACAGACTGTCTGTCTAGTTTGCTCACCACACACTGGAGATGGATTCTGACCTCACTCAGGCCCGCACACCACAGCCTGTGAGCCCCTCTGGACAGCCAACCCTTTATTTCTGTATGACCTGCAAGCTAAGAGTGGTTTCTACATTTAAAGATGGTTGGAGACAATTAGAAGAAGAAGGTCATAACGTGAAAATCATGAAATTCAAACTTCAGCTTCCGTAAATAAAGTTTTATTGAAATACAGCCACACTTGCTTGTTTACATTTTTCTGTATCTGTGCTACAACTGCAGAGTTGAGTAGTTGTGATAGAAACTATGTGGCCCCACAGCCTGAAGGATTTGCTGTCGAGCCTTACAGGAAAAGGTGCCTGGCCCCTGACCTAGATGGTCTTTGGCCTTGTAGTCGAGGGACCAGCAGCAGAGACCTGGGAGCTTGTTAGAAGTGCAGACTGTCAGGCCAATCCACAGCTCCCCGAGTGATTCGTACATACATTAAGTTTAGAGAGTCCCTGGCTTGGGATAGCAGCAGGAGGGAGGGAGGGAGGGAGGGAGGGCGGTGCTGAGCCCCGGGCCTCCGGTGCAATGGTGTTGCTGGATGTTGGACTTGCACCAGCAGCAAAATCACTTCTCTTCCCTGGGTGGGGTGCCGCTTGAGTTCCTCACGGCAGCGCTGCTGCCTCCTGGGGATGGGGTGGAAGGGCTTTCCCTGGAAGCTGTAGGAATAGCATGTCCCTGCAGACACTCTAGTGTGCAGGTTGCTGGGCTGGGATTGAGGGGCCAGGGCTGTCCCCAGCATTTGCTGGTTTTCCTGTTATGAACGCTTGCCCTGTTTCCTTATACAAAGAAGTAGTCGGATTAGGTTAAGAGCCAAGAGCCAAAGACCTTTTAGCTCTCAAAGTCCTACAGTTCCAGCATTCAGAGGAATCTAATACAATATTTTTATGTGCTTAATTAGAATATTAGGATCCTAAACGCAACCCAGAATCTAGGACATCTGTACAATGGAGTGGAACAGCGCAAAACGCAGCATTGATTGGTTTAGGCTAAAGGAAGCAGAGTAGGATCTGGGGAGATTTTCATGACTTCCAGTTACATTTCTAGAAGTGGCTGGAAACTTACACGTGTATCTGCGTGGTCACTACTTACTCCCCTCTGTCTCCTCTCTGTCAAACAAGGGTAGCACCCTGATCTCTTCTACAAACGCATGGTGAGGACTGGTAGCATTTGTGAGTAAGCGCAGTGAACTGTGATCTTAGGAAAGGTTTTGTGCTACTTCAGACTAAAATGCTACATTGAGTTGCCTCTGAGATGCATACTTTTGCTGTTCTTTGTTTATAGCTGGGACAGATGGCGATCAAAATGGACTTGACCACCCATCTGTTGAAGTTTCCCTGGATGAAAACTCAGGAATGTTAGTAGACGGCTTCGAAAGGACCTTCGATGGGAAGCTCAAGTGTCGTTATTGCAACTATGCCAGCAAAGGGACAGCCCGGCTTATCGAGCACATCAGAATCCACACAGGTAACAGAGCGGGCGAGGGGCGCGCTTCTGTGGGGGCAGGAGAGGGGCCAAGGAGGGCAGGCTGACCTGTGGTATAAGTAGTTCTGATAGTTTAAAAATGAAGGTTGACGTAAGGTTTGAATAGATGGGAAGTAGTGTATTTTTACAAAGTGATAGCATAACAACATGCACCCAGGAAGTGAGGCCCCTTGTAAAGCTTCCCCTTCCTCAGCCATCTTTCTCCTGCTCCAAATCATCTCTCAACCTCTGTCTTGCCATTTCTCCCCCATTTTTCTTTTGAAACAGGTGAAAAACCTCATAGATGTCACTTATGTCCATTTGCCTCTGCTTACGAGCGTCACCTGGAAGCCCATATGCGTTCCCATACAGGAGAAAAACCATATAAATGTGAATTGTGTTCCTTCCGCTGCAGCGATCGAAGCAACCTGTCCCATCATCGACGGCGCAAGCATAAGATGGTGCCAATCAAAGGTGCGAGGTCTTCCTTAAGCAGCAAGAAAATGTGGGGCGTTTTACAGAAGAAAACCAGCAACCTGGGCTATAGCAGAAGAGCATTAATCAACTTAAGTCCGCCTTCCATGGTGGTTCAGAAGCCAGACTACCTTAACGATTTCACCCATGAAATCCCCAACATCCAGACGGACTCCTATGAAAGTATGGCGAAAAGCACCTCAACTGGGGGCCTACCCAGGGACCCCCAAGAACTCCTGGTCGACAACCCTCTCAATCAGCTCTCCACTCTCGCAGGGCAGTTGTCCAGCCTGCCCCCTGAAAACCAGAACCCCGCGTCCCCCGACGTCGTGCCCTGCCCGGACGAGAAGCCTTTCCTGCTGCAGCAGCCCTCGGCCCAGGCAGTGGTTTCTGCCGTGGCCGCAAGTATTCCTCGGAGCGCCCCCCCCCCCACCAGCCCGGAGCCCCGGCCGCCCCAGAGCCAGAGGAACTACGTCCCGTGGCAGATCCAAGCAGCGAACCCAGTGCCTACACGAGCACCCTGAGCATAGGAAACAGCCAGCCGAGCACGCCCGCTCCGACCCTGCCGGCCCAGGACCCGCAGCTCCTGCACCACTGCCAGCACTGTGACATGTACTTTGCCGACAACATCCTCTACACCATTCACATGGGATGTCACGGGTATGAGAACCCTTTCCAGTGCAACATCTGCGGATGCAAATGTAAAAACAAGTACGACTTCGCCTGTCACTTTGCAAGAGGGCAGCATAACCAGCACTGACCGGAGCAGTCACATTGCTCTGTCCTTGGTTTTGACTTTGTGCATTTTTTAGTTTTGTGTATTGTTGGTTTTTGTTGGTAGGGGGAGGACCCATCCCTAATATGCTAATTTAAAGTTTATACATTATATTTATAGAAAAAAAAGTTGACAATAGAAACAAATGTTTCCCCCCTTTTTTTTTTTCCATAAAAGTTTGGTCAGGGTCATTTATATATTAGAACAATTAGACACATTGGTGTCTGTTTTTTCCTTTTATTTAGACTTTGATGATTGAAGTGCAATCTTAATCTTACAGGTATTCATTTAAACTCCCACAGTTAAGGTCCATGTAGACTTCAAAGCTTGGTCCTAGTGGTGTTTCACTATATACGCAGCTAGATGTCATCTCTGCCATATTTAAAAATGGTAGAATAAATCACTTTCTCACAAACTTTGTTACAACTTATTTCCATGTTTAGCAGAGGAATTGCCTTTAAAATTGCTCTTTAGATAGTTGAAATACTATCTAGTTCACTTAGTTTAAGTTGAATTGATAGTTTCAACTGATAGAAGTAAAGCTATTTCAGTATATAGTAAACCTTTTTCTTTTTTTCCATAAGGGGGGATGTAAAACAGTTAATTCTTTTAAAATTAAAGCTATAAAAATTTGAGAGGAATGTCCTGAAATGAAATAAAACAAGGCTTTACATTGAAAATGGAGTTTAATATTTGAAAACCTGTTTATTCAGTCTCGTTTAAAAATGCATCAATTTGCCATTGGATTCATTTTATTATACTTGTAGTTTATTTTAAAAACCACAAGTGAATACATGAGAATGCTGGAAATGTCAGGTGATTACCTATGAAGATGCCTTTTTTGTTCTTTTAGTTTGAACCTTGTATTTAAACGCTTTATTCTGACGTCATTACTGTCAGGTGAGCTTGACAAGGACATTGAGTGTCTGTTCTCCCTCCTGTTCCTTTGATGACCAAAGAGGTAAGTGACAGTCCCATCTGGTTCCCGGAGACAGTCCTTCACGAAATTCCGCTTCCTGTTTCCTGCCTCCGGCCTTGCACCCATTTGTTGTCCATAATTTCTCAGATGTGTGTATAGGAACACATGGGAAATGGGATGAAGTATATTTTTAAAAATGAAACACATCCAAAACGAATTCTTCTCTTCAGAATTGGCCCCTTAGAACACTTAGTGTGACTTCAAGTTGTGATGCTCGTTGCCGTTGCACCAGTCTTTCCTTCGCGGCGACAGAGCCATGGAAGCTGACTGCCTCGACACCTAGTGGGAAAGGACTTACCATGTGAAAGTAGATACCAGATGCATACAGACAGATTTAACTTGTTTACAGAAATAAGACGTGCTAATTAATCTAGAGGAATTTTGAATAGGAGGCTGTTGTTGACATATTGTGTAATAACTCGCTTACCCTGAAGAGCGCTTGGTCAAACAATAAACTTACTGTTTCTAACTGTTGGTTTTTGTGTGCTTTGCAAGCATTTTATTACTTTTAAGGTTTAAAGCTTGAAGTGTTACTCATCGGGTTTGTAAAGAGAACACCCTAACGATTGAGCATTTATTAACCAGAAAGGACCACTACTCCTAAAAGGGAGATGTTGAAGGCTTATGTCCACAAAAGCCCTACATGCATGGGAATGATCTTCTGGCCCCAAATGCTAGGAAGCCTTTCAAAGGAGTTCTTGTGGGTGACTGTTCCATCTCAGCTCCTCTCAGTTGCACTGCTCAAAGCAGCAGCATCTCAGAGGGTTTCTCCAACTCGACCTCTTCCCTCAAAGCTGAGGCTCCTTCGGCCAAAACCTAGTCCTGCTTCGCTCCGTCGCTTTGACCGCTCGGACCAGGGTCCGTGCCGCCATTTCCAGATGCATAACTTCGCCCCTTTACATTTATTCCCACAAAGCACGAGGTTGCTTTGGAAGCTTTTATTTTTCCCCCTCACTTTTATTCAAATAAAAGCAATATGCAAAATAGAAAATGCAAGTTTTTGTGAAATAAAAGGAAGAACTCTTGTTAAAACCAGTTTATTAACTGCATTCTGGGCCAGATAGTGACAAATATATTTTTTCTGACAACTAAAGATAGATGTTTTGAAGGTGCATTTTACTTTCAATGTAGACATTTTTTCATAATTACAAACTCGAATGTATGACTCTTTTCCCTGAGACTGGGCACAGTTGGTGTAACAAAGGCCTGATGCCTGGAAGTCAGTTACGGCTCAATGCACGGCAAGTCCTTGAAGCGAATCTGCCTTAGGCGCTCTGTAGTGTTTTGTTTTTGAGAAGATTTAGGGTTTCACTTAAATCTTCGTTAAATGTATCTTCCACTAAGTATTGAATATATTTATCCCATTTTATATTTAATCCTGTTTTATAGAAATGAGGTGTTTGGAAAGTTTAACATGCAATGTTTATAGTATTTTGCTGTTAACAGGCAATGTTCTGAAAGAATTGATTTTTGTTCAGTGAACATAAGTTTAGATTTTTAAAGTTGGTAGATAATTTATCTCCACTAATATTTTTTTAAGAAACTGTGAAAAAATTAATATGGAATAACTTTATTTCAGATTTTACTAATGATGTAGTAAGCTACAACTTCTTGAAATTCAAGTAAAGGCTAGACTATTGGCTATTTTCCAGTGCTATTTCATTTTAGAAAATTCTGAAAGAATTGATTTTTGTTCAGTGAACATAAGTTTAGATTTTTAAAGTTGGTAGATAATTTATCTCCACTAATATTTTTTTAAGAAACTGTGAAAAAATTAATATGGAATAACTTTATTTCAGATTTTACTAATGTAGTATGAAGCTACAACTTCTTGAAATTCAAGTAAAGGCTAGACTATTGGCTATTTTCCAGTGCTATTTCATTTTAGAAAAAGGTGTTTGCCATTCATCTGCAGAACTATTTGATAAAGGGAATATTGCTAAATAAATGTTCAGAAATAAACCTCATTTTAAATTCTACAAAAATATTTATCAAATGGCTGTATTATTTTTAAAAATTCCCTACTAAGGATTTTTTCACTAAGTAGTTTTAGAGGGTATATGATTTCTAGAACATGTTTTTGTTAATATGTACTTTGATGTAAAGAACATACTTTGTATGCAAAACGAGTATGACTGCAAAAACTTGTCTAGGGATTGCAGAAAGATCAATGCTGAAATACCATGCCCAGTGTGTAGTTCATGTTGTGCAAGAAGCTTTGCCTCTGTAATATGTGAATAGAAAGTAACACTTCCTAATGTTTGCCATTCTTTTTTGAGAACTAGGATCCAATTAACTTTTTAATTAAAACACAAGGTTATGGCTACATTGTTGGAATTTGTAGAATGCCTTACCCATAAGTAGCTCCGTCACATGGCTTAGAAACAAAAGCTCCACACACCCACACTGTCTCCTTTCTAGTTTCTTCGATTTATTAAAGGTCCTTGCAGGCTGCCTCCCGCCCCACCCAGCCCTGCGGTCCCGGCACAGCAAGGAGGGAGGCAGCCTCTGAGGCTCCGTCATCCACATCACGTGCGACAGGGGGATGACCAGTCATTTCTGTTACGACAAACGGATCTAATTTTTATGAACAATAAGTCTGGCAACTCCTGTCATCGCCCTAGAGAATATGCAGTAATACAAAATTGTCGTCAGTTTGCGAAATCTTCACCAAAATCAGACCTTTGATTGGAAATGGAGACGTTAATGCTGCTTTGGAAAGTACTTCTGCACGAGGCTGTCTTTCTCATCATGAAAAAGAGCAACCACGTCGGGGACACCCAGGGCCCGCGAGCACAGGGGTGCCTTGTGGCCGAGCCTCAGGTCCTGCAGCAGCTCTGCTCGGAGCTGGTTCAGCGCCGCCGCCAGGAGCTTCAGGTCGGGAGGCCGCACGCGCGCATCTAAAACCAAGAGTCTGGGTCAGGGGAGTCACACCAGCGGGAGAGCCACTGGGTTACTCAGACAAGCGGTCAGACCCCGTACGTACAGCTGAGCTGGTGGCACAGACAGAAGGTCCCGTTAATGTGACACAGCAAGTCCTTTAAGTGACCTGCTATGAAGTTGCTGAGCAGCAAAGAAGCCTGAGGGGGGGCTTGTTGACGAGAGCCGACCTCACATCCGTGAGCTGACAGGCACTGGGGCCTGAGACAGGAGGACCGTCCGCCTTGGGAACGGCTGCTACCCAGCACGCTGTCCTGCGGCTTCCTACCGGATGGAGCGTCTGCCCGTCAGCCCACACGCAGTTTCCATGCGAACAACGCGGTGGCTGCAGTACCCTCACACCTGCACCCCGAGCCCCAGTCGCAGAACTGTCATCGCCAGCTATCACCTTCCTGCTCCCCTCCCCCCGAACCCCCCAAGCCCCCACCAATGTGGTGGCTGAGTCTAGATGTCCCTGTCCTGACGTCTCCGGGCCTGGGCTGCCGTGGCCGTTCTCGGGCTACTCTCCTTCTGCATAATGTGCTTGTGGTTCGCCCATGGAACGTGCATCAGCGCTTCACTCCATTCTATGGCGAACGGCCCATTACATGTGTTGCCACATTTTCTACCGATGGTTGTCTGCCAATGGACATCTGGTTGCTTCCACCTGCTGGCTCTTATGAATGCTGCTGCTGGGAACGTGTGTGCCTCAGAGTGGCACTGCTGCCCTAGCTGGTTTGGCTCAGTGGACAGAGTGTCAGCCTGCGAACTGAAAGGTCCCAGGTTCGATTCCGGTCAAGGGCACAGGCCCGGGTTGTGGGCTCGATCCCCAGTGGGGGACTTGCAGGAGGCAGCCGATCCATGATTCTCTCTCATGGATGTTTCTCTCCCTCCCTCTCCCCTCCTCCCTGAAATCAATACAAATATATTAATTTTAAAAAAAGGGTGGCACCGCTGGGTCCCATGGTAACGCTGCCCATCCATTCCTGCGGCAGCCATGGGGCTCCGGCCTCACCACCCTCAGCAGCACTGACCTTGCTGGCTCCGTGTCCTGGGGCTGCGGGGGCCCTCGCTGTGTTTGATTTGCATTTCCCTGGTGGGTAACGATACCACGCGTGTTCACAGAACAGAACTACCCACATACCTTTTGCTTCCTTCATTGTCTCAGAGACAATCCTTCGCAGCGTCTGATCAGCTTGGTGAAGCGTGTTGGTTGAACAAATAATTCTGTCAGTTTCCTACGTGAGAGAGACACTGTGGTGAGAACGGGTATAGTTCAGAAAGGGCCTGGCTGCCTGGAGGCGGGAGTGGTCTGTTCCTCCTTCTCCCGGAGGGCGGCTCTGAGATGCGTCCGGCTGGAAGCCGGTCCGCCCGGGCAGGGGTGCGGGTGAGTGTCCACTGATGGGCTCGCGGGGAAAACACGAGGCCGGCGCCCAGTGCCTGTCAGTCTGTGTGAACAGCCCCCCCCCCCCCCCCCCCCCCCCACCCCCCCCTGGATTTCCAAAACTGGAGACCGGCCCCCCCAGGGCACCCCCACATTTGGCTCCAAAAGGCCTTCCTACAAAAGGTGGCCCCCCTCACACTGGCCCTGAGGGGAGACTTACCTTCTGCTCCGCGTTGTCCTCGACACAGGTCACGGGGTTTTCCAGAGCAGCAAGCAGCAGGCCGGTCAGCTCGGGGCTGGAGGAGAGGGGGTAGCACACGTCACTGTAACAAACACCTTCACCTGCGGCGGGGCGGGGGGACCGTGTGCTCCACGCGGATGAGGACTAGCCCGCGGCTGCGGAGAAGCGTCAGCGCAGGGCTGCCCGGAGGCGCCGGGGAGCAGCTACCTGGCCGCGGCCGAGCACGCGGGGCTCCGCACCGTGAGGCTGTTGTGCTCCCAGGCGTTTTTCTCGGGGTTGGGCTCCTCCATCTTCCCCCGCATCAGGCGGATGGTCTCGGCGGGCAGCGCCCCCGGCCGCTGGCCATTCCTTTGTACGCAGGTCTCCAGAGGACAATCTAAAAAGAGCTGGCAAAACCCCAGCGAGTCTGGAAGCAATGGGAACCCACAGTCACTGGTGCCCGCTTTCCAAAGCGTCCACCGGTGAAGGGCACGTTGCGCGGGGAGCATCCAGCTTTGGGAATTGAGTCAGTTCCCTGGGACCCTCCGACCCAACTGCATCTCACTGAACACGGCGATGGCTGATTTGCAAATCAATGAGTGTGTGTGTGTGTGTGTGTGTGCGCGCGCGCGTGTGTAAGGAAATGCCTCACTTACACTTGCGAGCCAGCTGGTAGACCTCGTATCTCATGCTTCGGTAATAGAAGTTGTCATCTAAAATCAGAAGCAAAGGCCCGGACGCGGCGGTCGGGGTCGGGAGGCAGTGGGACGGGCCCTCCGC